CTCCAGCTGCCTCGGCAAGGAGCTGGGTGCCTTCTGGAGGGCTCCGACCAGGGAGGAAGAAGGCAGCCTCAGGGATTGGCAGGAGCAAGGGAGCCCCACAGAGGGGTAACCTCTATGTGGGATGCTGTCAGGGAGCCACAAAGCTGCAACCAGGGGCTCGGGCACTGTAGTTGGGGATGCCCCCTTCAGATTGCAGGCACCCACAGACAGCCCCATAGCAGAAAGAACATGGGGGATCACTAGCTCCCAGAAGGAGGAAGGAGGGAATGCCAAATGGAAGAACCAGGACGACTGGACTGCATGTCAGCTGGGCCCCAAGGAAGTGACACCAGGGGAACGGGTAGAGGTGGGGCACAGGATCATTGCCTGTACTCATGTCTACTAGGAGGAAAGAAAACAGATGAGCATCTCCAGAGGATCAAGGGCCTTGAGAGAGGGAATCTCAGGACCCTCGCTGGCATGAGCTGGACATTCATTTTAGGTTATGGTTAGACCCAGATGGGGCAAGTTTAGATCTCCCAAAGAGGGGAAACCAACCTGGAGACAAGGGGCAAACCCCAAAAATTGATGGCCAGGAAGACCCATCCTTTCCAAGGTGGGCAGCACAGGAGACCTCCGTGGAGCAGTGTCTACCCAGGTCGAGGACGTGGTAAGGGTTTGGTAAAGAGAAGGTTTGGAGCCCCACGTAGACACCAAAAGGACGAGACCCTCCCTCGGGTCGTTGACTGGGAACTGCCTGCCAACAACAGCATCAAAGAAGTGGCAGGAAAGAAGGGGCAGCGCCTGGACCATCTAGGCAGCACTGAGACTGGGCCTCACCCTGACATCACTGGGGGGCAAGGTACCCACAAAGAGGGCACCAAGACCCTACAACACCTACAAGCGACACCATGCATCTTGAAAGACAAACTCTAGCTTGTGTGTCCAGCACAGAGAAACAGGAACATAATGTAAACAAATGACATCTTCCAGGAAGATATACTAAGGAGGAATATTCAAATCATGATAGTTCAGCTTTTGTCCAAAAGCAAAAAATAATCAGACTTGCCTGAAAGCAGATACTTTTGGGTAAAAATATTATATAAAAAGCCTGGAGTATGCCTACACATGTGCTTTAATGCACATTAGCATATTTTAATGTGCATTAAAGCATCACAAAAATGTGCTTTAGCTAATGTTCATTACAATAAACTAATGTGCATTTTTCTACTACCTCACAATGGAGGTACTAGGATTTAATCCATATTACCTAAAGCACATTAATTAATGTGTAGACACACCCCTAATTTTCTGTTGAAAACAGTTCCAATACAAAATTTGATCTTCCTTAATGAACATATATAATACTGTATAGCAAAAGACCAACTTGACACTGAAATGCATTAAAGATTCAATATAATTGAAATGTGATACTGATATAATCAATTATTGAAAAATGATACAAATCTAGGTTCTTAAACCAAAGCAAGATTAGACAGATGGATTTATCATAATTTTTCTCTCTTAAAGGAGCAGGATATAGTGATATACTGATTTAGGTAGAAATCTAAAGTACTTGTAAAAATGATGAAGTAAAGATGCAATTTTAAAATATGGTTAAACTCTAGACTTTTTACAGTAAAAACACAGTAATTTTACTGACAATAAAACAAAACTGTAACATTAAGTTGAAATGCAGTGATTCTATTTTACTCATACCAGGGATGCTGTTAGGCTGGATCCTCCATGGCAGAGAGATATAAATCCAGTTTTAAAGTAACATCAAAAAACAGCTCTCCCATTTTAGTGTAGGGAAGTGAGGGTTCTATTCTGTAGTGCTTGCCACATATAACTTGTTATATGTCCTGCTTTTACTGTGTGCTATGTGCATTAGTAATTTTAACTAAGCAGTCTAGGTATTTTTCAGATTTATCAAACATCCTGTGCATCATAAAAGTCATTATAAAAGTGCCATGCAAGCATACATATTACACAAACAGAACAAGTGTAATGCAGATATTTTAACATAATTCATAGTATAATTCTGATCTAAATTAAATTAGTTTATCCTTTTTGTTAAAACAACTTTTTATATTCTTTACTACATTAACTAAATCTCAACACAAGTAAATTAGAGCTCATTAGGTCAAATGCAAATTAAATGAATAGTTTCATTGGGAACTAGTAATTATCATAATCATTCCATTTCAAATCACTGGTTTTATTTAGGAAACATTATTTTAGAGAGTATAAGAGGTCTACACATGAATGACATTTTCCCGAACACAAGTGCCAATATAAACAAAGTTTCTGTACTTCTGTAGAAGATTTTTGTACCATGAATCTCCTCCAGAGTCACCGTTCCAGTTATATTATTCATTTAAAATATGCAGAACCTGAGCAAAGCAAACACTCTATTTTCTTCTTTGATCCCATCCACTGACATAGAAATATAAAGCCAGATTGAGCTCACTAAATGTCTTCCATTCTATGCATTTTTTTTTATTAGATGGCCTGAGGTGCTTTGTTTTTCTATTCTCTTTCTTTATTCAGGGAAAAGGCCTAGCTCATTTCCTTTTCTATGAATAAAATACCTATGGCCCCTGACAGATGTTCATTTTAAGATGTGATGGGATCTCATCTGCAATACCAATAATCCTACTTCCTGCCATAGCAGACATGAGGGGCATTCACTGAATGGGGCATTCTGAAGTGCTTTAATGCCATGAAATAACAACAACAAATATTTGATCGCCTTCCTAATCCTGTATTTTCTTGCACATGACTTGCACCAGAATATAATATATGTTTTGTTTTTGAAAGAGAGAATGAAGAAAAAAGATTTTTTCCAGCGTTATGTCTGTATAAAGCAGAGATAGGGACTAATCTTCAGCTGATTCACATTTCCTTTCCTGCTTCACTAAAGCTGACACCTGAGCAGTTCGTAATGACTGGTCTCCATGGGTGGATCTATGTTTCTGAAAAAAGATAAGGCTATGAAACAGGAGGAGAGAGACCAGAAAGCTATGAAAACAGAAAACAGAAGGCTATGAAACAGGAGGAGAGAGACCAGAAGCAGCTAGTAGACAGAAAAATTGTCCTAAGAAAGGTTAGCCTGATTAGCAGAACATAAAGACTATTAAAAGGGTCTGGAGTGAAGAACACTAGGCCATTAAATCACCCAGCTCCCTTCGCTGCCTAAATAGTAACTCACCTTTTGCTACACTGTGGGACAAGAGTCAAAGAGTTTTTCTGTACTGGGCATAAAATCAGCTTTCCCACTTAATACATTTACTCAATTTGGGGGAGCTGGGAAAAGGTGTGTTGTAGATGAGAAAATATGGTAATTTTTAATGTATGCTCTGGCAAAAATGGGGTAGGTAAACTACCCCATCCATGTATGTTTATATCTCAGTTCAGCTGCTCTATCAGCTATGGAATATATAGTTTATAAAGATTTCCACAAGTGTTAGGGCCTCATCAGTGTTCTTCATTAAAACTGTGTAAATATTTTTCTTTTCATTAAAAATTTCAAATATTAATTTTAGGTTCATCTAAAACAATTCCCTTTTTAAATTTTTAGAAAATCAAAAAGTAAAAACTAAGTATGTTTTGTAAATTTTTAAAACTACATTTGAAAATAAAAAAAAATAAAGTGTCACTTAAAAGCACAATTTTTGAAGCAAAGAATTTGACCAAATTGAGGTAAGTTTGTGAATTGTGATATTGATGTTAGATGTTTCAGCAACTCTAATATTTGGTTAAATAGAGTTTTGCTCGTAAAATTTTGCCCATCTCTATTCTTCACGCTGTTGGTGGAGTTTTGTTATGCAGTATACTTACTAAGTTCCCATCTATTTAGTTACGTTAAAACATTTACATAAGTTGAGGCATGCACTGCTGTCTGAGGTCAAGAAGTTCAAGAAGGGATGAACAGTTCAACCCTCTAGGATGTCAGAAGTCTCAGTTTACAGCTTGCCCAGATACACACATGCTTGGTAAAGTGTGAATGTAGTACTAGTGACCATGCCCGAGTAAGTGAATATTTGGCAGGAAAGAGTGTTGTTCACCCGTGAGGTTATATGTATGTTGACTGGTTGATGTTAGGAAAATGTCTAATGAATGACTGATAGCTGAGCGTTTAAGTCTGATACTAAATCAGTGCTGAGGTTGTCTGCCTGGCAAGTGGGTGGTTACATTTGGCTGTTTACTTGCCAACTCTGGCCAAAACTTACTGTTGCTTTGCCTAGTTTTTGTGATTAGGTATATTCATTATTATTGGTTTGAAGTCTACTGACCTTTATATATACATACTTATACATACATACATATACATTACACAACTATACTCTGTTACACAACTATACATATACACACACACACACACACACACACGTAGTTGGTAATATGGATGAAATTGTATGGTCTTTCTGTACTTACATATAGTTACTGTTTGCATTTGTTGCTGAGTTTTCCACAATATACTCACTGTTTGGCTCACGAATTCTAAGTAAATCTGTCCTTCTTATCAGACAATCCTCTGCAGAAGCCAGTTGGACAACCTAGCCTTGGACACTTGTTTATCAGAACCGATGTTAGCTGGCCAGGCTTCAGAGCCTAATTAGCATTAATTAGCCCTTCTGTGACCAACAACACATCCTAAAATTATTCAGAAACTTTATACGAGTTATCATTTCTATTGTATTCTTTGGTGTAACCTGGTGTCTAGAAATACTCATTGCTCACCACTCCTAAGATGCAGCAAGGGAAAAGATAACTATTATGTGGTATTATGAAGGACATTATGGGGCATCAGTTTTTTTATCCTATTCATGGTGTACAAACCACATACATTAGGAAAGAGCTCGATTTCATGTTTATGGAGCCAAACTTTGATCTTCCTGAAGACCTACAGCAGTCTTAGTGAAGTTAATGAATAAGTAACAGCAGAATTCACAAGTACAATGTGCTGTTAAAAAAATGAGTCCAAGAGGGCAAGTGTGTGTGAAGTTCTTACTCACATAGTATGATCATTTGCTGGCCTGCATTTTTCTTCCCCTGGATGGACACTGGCTCCTCTTCCAAGGCTCCACCGGAATGTAGGAGTTGTATAGACCAAAACAGTTGCTGCTGCCACTTCTGTTGCCGATTGATACCATTCACATAGGTCTTTGTCTTCAAAATCACAAAAATTCATGGCTTTAAATGTAAAAAAGTAAATAATATAGATTTAAAAATGAGGGAAAAATCAGGGTACAGTGAACAATGTAAATACAAAAAAGAAGTTTTATTTAACAAAGATTTATGCAATATCAACAAATGTATTTTTCTCTACTTTTTTAGATCATTGATGCAGATTATATGATTGGCTAGACACTAGATTCCAACTCTGGGAGCAAAACATTTAAACTGCCATTTACTTTGGTATCCACTATCTTATTACATAATTAACTAATGGAACTAACCATTTCATCTGGAGGTATCATATGCCAAGAAGATAGAGAAGAAAAAAATTCTGAATTAAACGTCCTGTTGTCATTATGTGCCTTGGGGCCACCACTGAACTACCATCTTATTTGGCAAGTATCCAGCTGTCTGTGCCTTATCATCTGATTCTTTCCTGAAGACTGCAAGCAGTGAATGTATCCCTCTGTCCCAGGCATGTCTCTCTGCAAGAGTATGTGGCCTTTCCCATTATGGGAATTAATCAACTGCAGCATAACTTCCTACACACTTTACAGGAACTCCCATTTGTCCTGGAACCTAGCAAAATTCATCCTGGACCACACAAGCCTTTAGAACAGTTATAGTCAGCCTGAAGGTCAAAGAGACTTTTGTGAGGATTTTAAGAGGAATGAATGAAAAGGCTGCATTGCTAATCTGCACATTTTGGGTAACCTCAGTATGACTAAGGTATGCTGGGCAAGTAGAACACATACTGATGCTTCCTCTCTAGAGATCAGAAATGAGGATAATGAAGCAGCAGGGAGGGGCTAGCAAAGCAGTTTAGACATATTCATTTTAAAAGTCCCAGTAAGAAAGCTAGCCACAACCAGTAAGCCTGCCTAATTAGCCAAAAAAGGATTCATGATGCTAGCTGAAAGTGGTGTGGCACACTCTAAAGTGTCTCTGCATTTTTTTCCTGTTTTATATATTTCATAAATATTATGTTTTAAAGTGTCCCTAATGGTGGATTATACCCTCCTGTGCACAGATTACTGCCCACAGTCCAGATATACTTCATGCCTATTGCAATGGTGTCATTCAAACAATGAATTGCAGTCATTGCTATAGTGATTGCAGCCTTCAGACTCCAGGCAGCTAAGAAGTATTTTCCATAGTGTTTATCCCACCCCAAGGAGATGAAGGATGATTTGGGAGATTACATGAAATTGTGAGCAGTCCTGCTCTATCCAATGTGATCTACTCTTTGCTGAAGTTTCATTTCAGTGTGGTCTCCCAAATGACTAGAATCAGATGGATGCTGCAAGGAACTGCATATCTGAGCTTATAAATCATTTCTGTTTCCTCCATGTGTTCATTTACTGTGAATACTCAGGGCTAAACACACAATGGAATTTGGGCAACACAATGCTGAACACTGCAACCTTTGAGGTACCCTTCTCTTAAATGTAATCATCAACTGTGTCAGTGCTCAATAAATTGCATGAGAAAAGTAAGTGGCCAAAGGTAGGGATCTGCCTCAACCAGCTTCTAAGAAATGCCAAAGAGATTTCTGACACTTCAGCCCCACCTCTCTAGTCTTCCAGGTGATTGCCTTAACTACCAGGCTAAATAACTACTCACATTCTGATCCAACAAACACTAAATTACTTTAAACCAAGTAAAGTAGCTTCAACAAGACAGCCCGAGACTCACCTCAGAATATCCTATATCCCAGTGTGGGAGATCCAACTTCAAAACCCTGCTCTAAAATTAAGCAGAGAAGGGATTTGAACTTCTGTTCCTCCCAGATTCCAGAGTATGTGCTTTAATCACTAGATCCTATTTGCAACTACATCATTACTTCCCCTCCCTGTTTGGCACAAGACTGATCCAGTAGGTATGCTCTGAGAATGCCTAACAGACTAGGCCACAAAGTTTATATAAGTGGGAAAATGCCTAATTTGTAAATCATGTTGGGACTTAGGCACTGGCCAGTTCAGTGCCCTCAGGATTTGGATGGTTACATAGTAGAAATTTAGGCTACACCAGACTTTACTGATGGGTATTTAGGAACATCTCCAAGATCAGGCAGCAGCTGAGTGGACACCTTGAGGATCGTTTTTTGGTTTTTTTTTTGCATAAGAACCAAAGGTAGAAGGCAGGTACTTAAGTTTTTGCAGATCCTAACTCTCAGTGGACACTTCTACGCATTCATTAATGTGCCTTTGCTACTGTGCATTAAGTTTAATACCTCTAATATGCAGTACTAGACAAAGGTGCAATAGCTGCACCAGTTCACAGTATCCAAGGCAAACATTTTTTTCTGATGCTTACTGTGCAGTAGACTAATTTTACCGTGCATTAGCACATAAGCATGGTTTTTGCTGTGATGTGAACATGTGCAGTAGAACAGTCCACTACGCATTGAGGCATCTTGTGTAGATGCCACTTATTAACACAAGTGGTTAATATTTTAATGCAATGCATTTTTATTTTGGCCACCATATTTTTCATTCATACACATATGCACAAACACACACAAGACTTCACTTTGGAAATATTTACACTCATCTGAACAGGAACAAGAAACCAACATGTGACTTATCTAATCAATCATAATTATATTTGACTATTCATAATTAACTTGTGTAGGAAAAATATATGACATTAAAATATAACTGTACAGGAAATTGAAGAAAATGATATTGCAGGATACTCCACACACATAAAAATAAATCAGATGGTCATTTACTTGTCCTGGGATAGTATTGTAATATTTGAATATTCAATGCTGAACAAACATGTAGACTGGTAAAAATGGTTCTGATTGTTGCATTAGAAAATTTTGTTTGAAATTTCCTATGGGAATGTGTTGATTTCAATTATATATCACTTACGGAAAAAAGTGAGACAGTGTTTCAATACCTTTTGGGAAAGAACGGATCATTTTTTTACTTTGAGACAACTTTTTGTTGTCAAAACTATTATAGAGTTTGAAAGATAATATTTAAGGAGTCAAAAGCAAAAGAATAGGTTCTGAAGTAATACACCAGTTCTACCAAGGTGCAAATTTAAAGCATAAAAGGGGGTATGTTGATTTTAATCTTGATAAGAAAAATCAATCAGGTGCTTCCAGTGTTCCCTAATTCCCTTAGCTACATCCTTAATTGAGTGGTTGGCAACTTTTCAGAGCTGCAAGCTTTGGTCTGATGCTGGCCAGTGTTCTGATGTGTGCTCTGCCACTGTCACTGCCTTACCCTGCTGCTGCTTCTTCCTGCCCACCCCTGTGTAGCTGTGACACAGGCACAGATCCTCACCATGCAGCCTCAGTGCAGGTGTGAGCAAAGCCCTCCACTGCCAGAAGGCTGCTGAAACCCTTCAGCTCTGCAGGCCACATCCAGTGGCTCCGTGAGCAGAATCTGGCCTTCAGGTCATATGCTGCCAATCCTGCCTTAGTTCATATTTTCTTAATCTTTGGCCTCTAACAGTTAGGTTCATGCCTAAGAGAAATGAGCATTAATTCCTTATTTATTTAATGTGAGGATCTATATTTATTTTTTAAAAATAAAAAAAATAAAATTGAGTGATGGAAGTTTTTCTTTTGAGTAATAAATTGGAAGGTCACTTTACATCTATGAGTCTAGAACAGACTCCAGAGCCATAGCACATTTTAACATCTTTGTCAACTTGCCCTTAAAAAACCACTTAAAATGATGAGATAACACAGTGCAATTATTAATTTACTCACCACAAGATGATTCATCAGACTTATCAGAGCAGTCAGGTCTGAAATCACATTTCTGGATCCTCTGTATGCAGTGGCCAGTGGCTCTGCAGACAAATTCCTTCTCTGTGCAGTTGTTTGTAGGGAGTGTTGGTGGAATACGTGTTCCAGAGGGTGTTGTTGAGACTGTTGGCAAATTTCCTAAAGACAACATATTTAAAAATGATGGTATATATATATATATTTGGTCTCTACAACTTGTTTCTGGGATAGTCTCCTACCTAAATCTCCAGCCTTCTTGTCTAACTGTGGTCTAATCCTTGTCTAATCTCTACAGAACACGAAAGAATTTTTTGTCTCTAAATACCATATTTTAATATCACCTCTGAGGACTTAAACATCTCAAGATGTAGTAAGGAGGTCTCTCTAACTAATGGATAGATGAATGATATAATAAACATATCTAGTCTTTAGCAACCAACAGGCAGGCTAATGTGTTTTAGCCAATCATGAGGGCAGATTGGGAACTTTTCAATATAATGGTTTTTCACCATGATATTCTGATCTCTTGAAATCATTGTTCTCAATGAAATGTTATTAGAACCATTAGAATGGATTAAAAAATAAAGACAAAGAGAGACCAGAGTACATAGTGGGGACATGGGAGAGTCAGGTTCAAGATTACTGAATTCAGACACAGCAACGTGGGACACCTAACCAGAAAACTCTTGGCTACTCTACTGTGCAATCTCTGGTACTGGATGCTATTATTATTATTATTATTATTATTATTATTATTATTATTATTATTATTATTATTATTATTATAGTTTGGTTTGGCTTTCTTTTTGCAAGAAAATTGAAAAGTCCTGATTTCTCTGAGTGGGACAATTTTTTAAGTATCTTTATTTTTCTTTTACAGGATAAAAAACCCGTTTCTCTGCCCCGTCTCCCTCTATATACAGCACTTTAGGATATATCTTTTCTTTTCTATTTCAATTATTCTTAATGTTGTCTAAAAGCTAAGTCTGTCTGTCTGTCTGTAACACTTCATTTGTGCTCTGACTGGCTGATGGAAATAACCAATCAGAGTGCTCCAAGCATGGGGTAGCACTGCCATGATTCCAAAGCCACGCTGAGGACTGGACACAGGGTGGGGGAGTGCTGCTGGCCTCAGCTCCCCCACCTCGGCACCTGCAAGAGGCAGAACAGCGGCAGCATGGGGCATTAGGTGGCAGCACTCCATCCCAGCCCTTTCCTCCCCTTGCCCCCCGTCATTCTTGATGGGCAGTTGGCCAGTTGTGTGTATTAATGTTTTAACTCTGAGGTTTAAAATAGCCTTATATCCTTCTGCTGCCCTATTTATTGTCATATCTTATTGAAAATATTTGCGGTCTTTTCTGTTCCATTTAATTCCTCCTCATTTCCCACTCCCAAGTACCAATGCAGAAATTTTAATGTTAATTTTGTAAGTTACAAACAGTTTGTCTGAAGATGCTAAAATAAATGTGTATAATATTTAGATTTGGCAAAATGGAAGGAAATTAACTACAAGATGCAGACAGTATGCACTATATTTTTATATGCCCTATTAATTTGCCTGCAAGTCATTTTTGCAGTGCTCAAACTAAATCTGCCTACTATTTTTAAAGAGCCTGATAAGATATTAATTCTGAGAAAATCATATTGTGCTTGCTCTGATTATAAATTAGTTGTCAAACCATATACATCATGATATTGTCTACTACACTGTGCTGGCTCTCCAGAAAGCCTTTTTCTGATGAAGACTGGCAGGAATAAAATTATACTCAAGTCTTGGGATACAAAGTTTTCGAGGGTCTGATACTTTTACGTATGTAGACATTCTACCAAACTAGATTGCAATGGGTTCTACAGACTGCAATATCATTTGAACCTCTTGTTTATGGTTCAGAATGTTTCATTCTTACATGAAAATGCTGAATCATTTACTAGAATTAATTTTGCCAAATGGAACTATGTAAACTTCTATATATGTGTGGTGTTCCTTCAAGACTGTGCTACCTAGCCCCTCAAAGTAAAAAAACGGGTCTCCCTATTTGGAGTTACTTTCTCTTTTCTAACCTTAGATAACAGAACTTCTGTTTTAAATTCTGTCTGAATGACTTGTATGAGGCTAAGGGTTATAATACCTTGCTAATGGTGTTAGGGAAACTGGAAAATAAGTTTGGGTTTGATTGTTAGACAGTGAGTCATGGTTTGAGCTGGTTTTGTTTTCTCAGGACAAGTCCCTCCATTAACAATTTTAACACAAAGGAATCATTTACAAGTTTCAGGATTTTCAGGGTTAAAAGACTTATAGTTAATTTCTAATGTTGTTCCCACCGTTGTAAAGGATACAGTCCATAAAAGAAAAGTCATCAATTCCAATGTCTCCAGTGAAACCGTCCCCTACAGTACCCTCCACCAAGATCTGGAGAAACAGTAATTACAAAGCCATTTGTCAGCATATAGTAGACTTCCACTTATAATTCAATATTTAATATTATTTTATAGAAGACCATTTACTATGTTTCACACTTTTAAAATGAGCTTACGTTTGTTCATGTGGATATATTGTATCTGATGAGACTTTATAAAACAGAATAATCATTATCAACTCTCCCTGGTGTTCACATTCATCACAGTGAACTATGACATTAGAGTGGTCAGGCAAACAGTCATGTAAATCCAGTGAAACATGATTATGATGTAAAATGATGGCACGACATCATATAAAGTGGCACACTATGATTAGCTTCTTTGGTACTTAGAATAATAACATTCATCATGATTAATTATTGTAATGTTTATATGAATGAGATATATGCTTTTATATTAGTCCCATTGTGAGGCATATCATAAGAGGCCACAGATAGAGTCTAGCAAGATTTAAGGAAAAATATTTTACTAATTCATTAAAATTGCAGATTTTTCATGCATTTTCTGTCTTCTTATTGTTTACTGCCAAGGCTTATTTGGGAATAAGTCAAAAGAATTTTCCTCCAGTGATGGAATAAATTTCTCAATTGATTCAAAATGAGCAAAACCTTTTGGCAACTTGAGCACGGTATGATTACAGGATCATACCTTAAATATTCTAAATTTAAGTATTTTTTTTAAATTCTCTTTTACTGAACAGCTTTCTTAAAATACTTCTTTTAAATATTTCTTTTAACAAATACTAAAGTGTTTTCCTATTGCCCAGCAGGGTATTAATCCCTGCCCTGCCCCCGCCCTGCTCCTGGGAGGCAGTTGTGCTCCGTCCCCACCTACCTGTGTGTTGTCCCCACCTCCTCACTCTAAGTCAGACCGTGTGTCACCCCTGCCTCCCCACCGTGTCCGGCTACCAGGGGTACTTTGATTTAAAAAGGTTGAAAACTCCTGGTATAGAAGCTTCCAGTCAGCACTATTCTTAGGCCATCCAAAATACTGCAGACAGCCATGATATAGGTTTTGTCACACTTAATATTTGGTTTTCTTTACCCTATACATGAAAATCTAAAAAGAGCAGTAAGCCAAAAAAACTACTCACTTGGTTAATTACATGAAATAACACTATCCAGAATGGTAAAAGACAGACCACGATATATAAGAAACCTACAGACCAACATACATATCTGCACAGAACCAGCAATCACCCTAAACACACCAAGAAAGCTGTAATATACAGCCAAGCCGTCATATACCACCGAATTTGTACTGAGAACACCTGCAATCATCACCTCACAAATCTCAAAAGGACTTTCACTCCAGCAAGGACACTCCTCAAGCAAGACAGATCACGCTTTTGAAAGAGCCAGCCAGATACCATGTGAAGAATTGCTGCAGTACAGAAGGAAA